AACACCAAATAGAACGAGGTTCGTCGACAGGACAATCTTCTCCTGCAAAACGGGTATTGCTGATTGTTGTTGCGATAAATTAGTAAAGTATTGATTGGTACTTGGTAATAAATTAGTTAAGGTCTGATTCTGCACTTCTTAGTCTTTTCAGATATTATTGTTTCCAAATAAATTAATTCGTGTTTTGACATTTCGCTTGCAATCAGTCAATATTTGTTTAGTTGCTTTGCAGACTGATTTATTATTTATTGTTCATTATAGATAACATGTTCCAATTTATTCATAAATAGACATAACAAATATTAGTTCATTACAAGTGTATCGACTTGTTTAAATTATTTTAAAAATATTACTTTCAAACCATTACTTTGTAAAGATTCAATTCTAATTAAATTGAGAGGCCAATTTTGTGTTCCAAAGTATGAATGCATACGATTCACTCAATCAAATCTTATGATATATTGTATTACTGGTAATTGCAGCAACATTTAGTTTAATAACAAAAGAAGTGCACATTGTCGCACAGAACACAAACGAATTTACCATGGAAGGGAGATGAATGTTCTTTAAGCATTTTGAACATAGTGTGCTTCAATGGTAATTAATTGTTATCTGTATATATATAGTTTATGGAGATGATAATTATTTATTTTTTTCATTATTGGTTCTGGCTTTCAGTGAAATAGTTTTGGATATTATATATAGATTTAACCAAAACATATTATATAGTAGTATCTGAGATTACCCGATTACCAGTGATAACGTTAATTATCAACGTATTTTCTTAGATTCTAAACAGTTAGTAAAACAACAAAATCGCAATAGAGTTGAATTTGACATCTGCTTTTTCACTGAAAACCATAACCAATAATGAAAAAAAAAAAATAATTATCATTTCGAAATAGGAGGTAGATTGCCTCTTATTATTTGAATTCCGCTAAATCTAACCATATACAATGGACAGAACTGAGTTTACAAAGGAAGTGATGTCTTCCTTTTATGTTTTAAAGATAGTCAAAATTGATAGAAGTGAGAGCGTGTTAATAAAGGAAGATGGCGAGTCAATGAAACAGCAATCTAACGACAAAAATTATAAAAAAAAACCTATCCAAACATGTCCCCCATTTTTATATCTGCAATAATTTTAAACTTCCTGTGTTTAAACCTTGTTTTTTTACCTTCTTGGGAAGGGACTTCATTTTCCTACATTTTCCCTATGTATATTCCTCCGATTGATATACGAGGTTTAAGATAGGGTAACAGACTACAGTTATAACCATGTAGACAGAAGAGTACGCAGTTTAGAAATTTTTAAAAACATTAATGTTAAAAAAAAAAAAAAAAAAAACTTTTGAAATTGTTCTTTTCTGTTTCAAATTTCGTTGTGTTTAAATTCCAAAATTTTAACTCCATAAAATTATTTAGTCTATAAAATATTAAGTGTCTCCTGAAATGTTATTTACAATATACTTTGCTTATTTGGTTTTTCTATTATCCATTGTTTTATAACATTGCTTTTTTTGTATTTTGAACAAAACTAAATGTTGTTAAACACAATAGTTTTTTATAAGTAGGTTAACACAACCATTATATAAATTTCGTAATGGTAAGACTCAAGTCTGTTTTGTAATGTTTGTACGCTATCGTTATTTGTGTACGAGGAACATAGATATGTTCCAACTGTCGTAGTCAAAATTGTGTCCTCATGTCGTCGTTTTCGATTGATATTTGCCCTAAGTAACACGATGGTTACCACTTGGAACAGGAACTCATCTTCCCGTAATACATGAAATCATCATCTATCTACACCAAACACGCTTTAACTGGGGTTCATGTTCATAATATCTTTACTTTTCATTGTAATTTTCTGCGTTATGTTGTTTGTTAGTTTCTCTTCTTTCTTTTTTATAAATTTGGATAACTTTGGTTGCACCCAAAATGCATAAGTATCAGTCAGTTTTATTTTCTAGTGTCCATCTGTTTATGTTGTTTCGACTTTTAGCATCCATTAAGACTTTTGTTTTATGTTATGTTTTGCGACTCTTCGGTACTTATTTTATCATACTTTCTTTCGATTAGAGTTTAGCCAGTCTCTCGTTACTTTTGTTTATTTGTTACCCTTTTGTTACGTTAGAGCAAACCAGTCTTTCGGTACTTTTTTATTCATAATCCTTTCTTTTCGTTTGAGTTTAGTCAGTCTCTTGTTACTTTTGTCTTAAATGTTATCCTTTCCTTGCATTAAAGTCTATCCAGTCTTTCGATAGTTTTTTATATATATTATCCTTTCTTTCCGTTTGAGTTTATTCAGTATCTCGTTACTTTTGCTTATTTATTAACCTTTTGCATTGTTTGAATTTAACCAGTCTCTCGATATTCAAATATTATCTTTTCTTTTAGTTAATTGTGTTACAAAACAGTCAGTGTATTGTTAATGTTAATGTCTTTTACGAGTCCTGTTTTAACTTTATACTGTTTGTCTTTGAAGTACAGTCTTGTTTTGGTGTACTGGTGCTCTAGAATTTATTTACAAGTTTAAATTTGTTAAAAAATTCAGGTCAAATCTATAAGTTAAATCATCATAGGCTTAACATTTTGTATTGCAAACGCGCGTTTCGTCTACAAAAGACTGGTCAGTGGCAATCGAATCAAAAGGTTAAAAAGGCCAAATAAAGTACGAAATTGAAGAGCACTGAGGACTCAACATTCCGAAAAAATTTGCCAAATACAGCAAACATAATCTATACCTCAGGGAAAAAATCCGTATTCTTTAAATTCAAAGTTTTGTAAACAGTTATTTTATGATTATGGTCATATCAATGATTATTGAGATCAACACAAAAGAGCTGACTACTGGGCTGATGATACGTTCGGGAAGGGAAACTCTAACAGCAGTGGCATTGACCCAGTGGTTGTAAATAAACCAATCGTAGATATCAGGCTTAAAATTTTGTACGCCAGACGCGTGTTTCGTCTACAAATGACACATCAGTGACTCGAACAAAAAGGGTCAAAAACGCTAAATAAAGTACTAAGTTGAAGAACATTGAGGAGACACAATTCCGAAAGGTTTTGCCAAATACAGCTAAGGTAATATATTCATGGTATAGAAAAGCTTAAGTATTTGTATAATTATGACCATATCAATGATAATTCAGGCCAAGACAGAAGTGCTGACTACTGGGCAATGTGATTTAGATATATCAGTTTTACACGGGAAACTCTACACTACAATTTACGACAAAGGGACGATTTTTCGTTCCCTATTGTTAATTTTCCTTTTTTGGACGGTGATGTTCCTTTGGCACCATCTTTCGGTCTTTATATATCACAACTCGTACGCTATGCCCATGTCTGTTGTGACGGTTTGGATTTCAAAGAACGTAATCTATGTATTACTGGAAACCACAAATTATTTAATACCTTTACTTAATTCTTCCATAGATATAAAGATTTGGTTTTGAAGTTTGGTTGTACATGTAGAAAACGTATTTCGAACGGGATAGCATATCCTAATTTTTACGAAGATGTTGTTTACCGAGCCCGGAAATTTATATACGATCCGGGAAAACTTATCGAACCTTTAAATAAACTTATTTTAAAGGTTACCAATTTAACACTGTAATTAGATCTTTGAATGTTTTTATTGGTATTAATATTGAATTTGCTATCAGTTAATTAAAATCAAACTAAATATTATTTTTATATACATATGCATTTTCATGGCTCTACAATCCGTCGATAGCTGTATCTTGGCATTGCACAAGGTCATGTTTTTTCTCTGACTGTTAATGACGTTTTTACACTATATCCATTGGATGTTGGATGTGTGCTGATTGATATTTTAATCTTAGATGTATCCATGTTTGTGTTTTTGTTAGATGTATCTCTATTTGTATCCATCTGATGAGTTAAGCCTTTTTCAACTGATTTTTATAGTGTGTTCTTATGTTGTACTGTTACACAACTGTCCCAGGTAAGGAGAGGGTTGGCGCTTTCAAACTAGTTTAACCCCGCCACATTATGTATGTGCCTGTCCCAAGTCAGAAGCCTATAATTCAACGGTTGTCGTTTGTTGCTAGTATCATATTTGTTTTTCGTTCATTATTTTGTACATAAACTAGGCCGTTAATATAAATAAGAAGATGTGGTATGAGTGCTAATGAGACAACTCTCCATCCAAGTCACAATGTGTAAAAAGTAAACAATTATGGTCAAAGTATGGCCTTCTACACGGAGCCTTGGCTCCCACCGAACAGCAAGCTATGAAGGGCCCCAAAATGACTAGTGTTAAACAATTCAAACAGGAAAACCAACGGTCTAATCTATATAAAAAAAAGAAAAAAAAAGTTTTCTCATTTGAATTGTTTTACATTTGTCATTTCGGGGTCTTTTATAGCTGACTATGCGGTATGGATTTTTCTCATTGTTGAAGGCCGTACGGTGACCTATAGTTGTTAATTTCGGTGTCATCTGGTCTCTTGTTGATAGTTGTCTCATTGGCAATCAAACCACATCTTCTTATTTTTATATTGTAAGACTCCAGGATAGGAAATATGCATCAGAAGTGGCATCAACCGAGTGGTTGTAATTAAACTCATCATAAATACCAGGCTCAAAATATTGTATTTCATACGCGTGTTTCGTCTACAAAAAACTCATCACTGTCAGAGTAAGACTTCTGCACTGAAATTATTCTTTCGTATATGATCATTTTCAAAACTACCTTTAACAGTTTTGAAAAAAAAAGCAAATAGCGTAAGACAATCAATATAAAAGAAATTACCTTTTTAAACAAGGAATTGGGATATTGATTCAAACTCATGACAGATGCGAGGATTACGCGCGGTTCGTATACAAAAGACTCATCAGTGACGCTCGAATCAAAAGTTTCAACAAAGGTCAAATAAAGTACGAAGTTGAGGAGCATTGGGGACCAAAACATTCCGAAATATTTTAAACAAAACCAGGACATGTATTACATATCATAACGGAGAAAACGATAAGTTTATCAAACATGTATATTTCGGTAATATCAACAAAATCAAAAATGCTTGATACGTGTACGTATCCATATGTGCATACCAGTTAATTTAACATTATATTACATTAACAAAACTTGTATATCGGCGGGTCAACATTTTGATTTTGATGTCACCAATGTGCACCTTATATTCTTAATTAAGCAGCATCATAGATTCTCATTTTCAAAAATGTTAAATCGCATTAGAACCAAGTATTTGCGTTAACTTGTGTTTACAAGTATTTTTTGGACGTTATTGATCAGCTTTCACAGGCAATGTTTTAGCTGCATTTGATACTTATAAACCATTTAATGGCTTGAATGCAGCAGTTCATAATTTTGTAGATTCCATTATTTTTTCATTGTCATCGGAAGAATCCATGGGTTGATCCTGAAAGTAACAATTCAAGTTTTAGTTTTGCTGATTTTCTCTTTCGTAAAAAAAATTATAATATGCAAATATTTCGGTTTTAAAATTCATTGTAAAAAGTTTCAAAGAAATTGTAATTCCATAAAAGTTCAGATCACAAACATATAATATCATTATTCAATAATAATGCAGTTTTTTATTATAGGTTAAGACAATGGATATGCGTTGAATGATAATAGATTTGATGCAGTTAGATCTAACATTGGTGTATGGAATCAGAAAAATCAATTCCAACACTAAATACGATACTTTCACAAAATAGCTACTTTCCCATTTGATAAGGGACTTGAATTTTCATTGGAGTTTGGTATTTTTGTTATTTTACTCTTTCCTATTAATTTTTGATATAACAATAAAAAGATATGGTACGATTGCCAATGAGACAACTATCCACTAAAGTTCAAATGAAGAGGATGTAAGCAATTATAGGCAACCGTTCGGCCTTCAACAATGAGAAAACCCCATACCGTATAGTCGGCTATAAAAGGAACCGCCATGAAAAATATGAAACAATTCAATTGAGAAATTAAACAGCCTAATTTATAACAATACAATTTACGAAAAACAAATATGACAGACATGAACCAACGACAACCACTAGTACTGAACTGCGGGCTCCTGATTTGGGACAAGCACATAAAGAACGTCACAGGGAGCGCTCAACCATCTCCTAACCTGGGACACAGTTGTTACATCACAACATAAGAAAAAAAATAAGTTCAACTATAAGAGGGTGAATTACCTCCTTCTGGAAACCATCCTGTTGTAGCCATTTTATCAATCCAATTGGACCAAAATTCTTAGACTTTCAAGCCCTCATTTTTGTTTCATTTTCATTTCAAAATGGTTCTATTTGCACTCATAATGTGCGTTTATTATACATATTTTTGGTTTATAAGTATTATTGATTGGTCTCATGACTCGCGCCGGACAGTTTGATACACTGAAATATGTACGCTGTCTCCGAAACGTGCTCACAAATCTAAATGAAGAGTAACATTTGTATTGGTTTTATTTTAAAATTGTGATGTAGATTGCTGTTTATTGACGTAGCTCATACATTTCATATATACACTAGGAAACATAGACAAAGATTTGTCCACTTTCATATTTATTTGAGAAAACCCTAAAAAGGTGAATAAACTAATCTCGTTATACATAAAAAAAAAAACAACAATTAGGCAGATTTCTAGGCGTTTCGTAGAGTTGCTAGTTTAAAACTGTGCGTTCACAAGTTATCGCATTTAAGTGATTGTTTTGAAGATGTCATATAAAGGTAAAATACAAATGTATCCTTCATTTTGTTTGCTTTTTGTCGGGGAACATTTGATGATCTTATTGCATACTATATGTCAGCTAAAACTTATCTTTAAACTTTCCATGAATGATGGAAATAAGGAGCCTGTTGTTCAGTAGTTGTCGATTGTCAGTGTGGTTCATAAGTGTTTCTCGTTTCTCTTTTTTTATATAGATAAGGCCGTTGATTTTCTTGTTTGAATTGTTTTACACTAGTCATTTATAGCTTGCTGTTCGATGTGAGCCAAGGCTCCGTGTTGAAGACCTATAATCGTTTACTTTTACAAATTGTGAATTGGATGGAGAGTTGTCTCATTGGCACTCATATCACATCTTCTTATTTATAATAACTTCTTTTTTAAAAAGAAAGGTGAAGATATAAAAGCAGTCTCCAACTGCATACTTACATTATAATCTGGAATGTTATTTAACATCTGAACATATTTCTCATTAATTTCGTTAAATGTCTCTAGTTGTTTTATACCCACTGCATATAACTTTTCTACGGAAATCTGCAAAAGGAAACATGTACAACCAAAGTTAGTGCATCAACCATAAATCAAGGTTTAATTACAAAATGGTGAACGGAAATCCAATAGAGAATGAGATCAGTTGTGTCTATAGTTCATTGGATACACTTTTTAAAGGAGTATTAACTACGATATAGACAAAAAGTTAAAATATAATTGTGCATTAAGAGACGATTTTAATTTTGAAATTATCAATTTCCCCTACCTTAGTAGCAATATACTAACTTCACCTGCATATGGGATATACATTTCCCAACTCATTCGGTATTCAAGAGCTTGCAGCTGCTATTCAGACTTTGTATTAAAACGTCACCAGTGTCTGAGCAGAAAGTTGATGAACCAAGCTATGTCAAAGAGCGTCTCGTCCTTTTTTTAAAAAAAGTTCATCGGAAGATACCAAGACCTTGTTGTATTCATGTCTTTCTTTTTTGCTACTGTGCTTTGTCTTTATACCTTTTTGTTTGTCTTTGTTGGCATATTTGCTTGTTTTGTAGTGATTTATTTGACGTGGCTCGGTACTTGTACATCCTATCATTGTGTTGTTGTGCTATGGTAAAATTTAGTATTCTTGTCTTTCGTTTTTGCTAATGTGCTTTGTCTATATGCCTTTTTGTTTGTCTTTGTTGACATATTTGCTTGTTTTTGTAGTCATTAAGATTATAACACAATGTTGACTGCTGTACCCCTATTTTTGACATTTTTACATATTATGTCTGTTTGTTTTGTTCACACATCGTTGTCATACAAGTGAGAAGTTTAGCTAGCTATAAAACCAGGTTTAATCCACCATTTTCTACATAAGAAAATGCCTGTACCAAGTCAGGAATATGACAGTTGTTATCCATTCGTTTGATGTGTTTGAACTTTTGATTTTACCATTTGCTAAGGGACTTTCCGTTTAGATTTTTCTCGGAGTTAGGTATTTTTGTTATTTTACTTTTTTTTGACAATACTGAAAACCGAAAATTAGTAAAAAAAATCGCTGTTTGTTTTGATTTGGTCAATACAAGCTAAAGACTCCAATGATTTATTATTGGCAGTTAATAATTCAATCTTAATTGAAATCATAAACATGCTACCTTTAATTTTACACTAAGCTGGAAATAACTTACGCAACGCATGTGCTAAGCATGTGAAAAAATGTCAACATTGAAAAGTGAAACAAGAGGGCCAATAGGAAGACTCATGTCTTTGACTGATTCAGCACACACAAATACCTTCTTATACAAGTAAAACAATGATTATTTTTTTCTTAATCTATGACATGAAATCAAACAGACCTAAACAAATCGTTATTATACGATTGCACGTTCTTGTACGGTGTCTATTTATATTTACTATATTCTTCTCGATTAACCTCTTTATATATAGAGAGGTGATTAGTATAGATGATGTTTTGTTATCTGATTAAAATTAAAAAATAAGATATGCGTGTAGCATAAAACAAACACAAATGCTGATTTGGACGAATTCAGGTATTTATTTACGGCTACCGTGTAAACTTATTTTTGAAAATAAATCCGTTATCAGTAACTAACAAAACACGTTTGACCGGTTAGGAAAAGAAACTGAGACTGGCGTTTTACAAATATAAGCCTGGTGGCTTTGATTAATCTTTATACCCATTGGGTCGATGCCACTGGTGGTAGAAGTTTCGTCTAAGTTTCGTCTGCGTTGGTATCACCACCCTGATATTTTTTGCTCCTCGGCTGACATCAAATATCGTTGATTTTTTTTATGAATTTAATGTTTATAAAACGTTAAAATCATTGAAATCACTGAGGCCTTTTTACTTCTAGGCATTTTTGGCCTCAACCAAATTTGGCAGCCATTTTAGAAGTCTGGTTTTCAATGCTCTTCAACTTGGTCGTTGGTAAGGCCTTCAAATTGTTTTTATTCGAATGCCACTAATTAGCCTAATGGAGATGAAAAGCGCATCTTGCGTATTACATTATTAACCTTGTATAATTGATGAATTTGTCATTTTTCATTGCTCAAAAACGTCAGATTACAGATTCCGATAATTTGAAGAAAATAAATAGGTACGTTAGAACGTATTGTATAGTTTTGTTAATGATACAGTTTCGTTCGCTTGTTTAGTGCGAACATTAGATAAACATTAGGCGTTTCGGCATGAAGCCAAAAATATACAAAATATACAATTATAGTAAACGATCTTACTCATAAGATAAATTACTTGAAATAAACATATTTATAGTTCAAATTAGAATTTACATGATTTTCTACACCAACATCAAAGCATTGACGCATATTCCTAAATTTGAAAACATACCAATTGTTTTTGAATAAGAAATAACTTTTCTTCTAGATGGCCACATCGGCAACATGTTTGATCGGATTGCTGGTCCTCCGGGTCAGTGTTTGTATGAGACCTTTCAATTGTTCTTTCCGTTTGATTTGATTCCCTGGAAAAATATTGATAATCAAATATTATTGTACTGATAGATGATACTTGGCGTTATTTACTTCCGATATGATTGACCTCCATTTAATAAATATTGATTTAAGAAAAATGACTGACAACAAAGTAATAATAATCTCATAATTCAAAGTAAAGACAAATATGAACTTAACAGGACCTGTGTCTTAATGCCTTAACTGATACATAATCATCTTCTTCTATTTATAGACCCCAGCAATGCAAATTTCAAATCAATCAAAGGAAAAACAGTAGACTACCGATATTCAAATCTCCAAAATTACTTAGGACGATACAAGGTAATAAACAAACTCTATGGGAATCGCATCCTGCTATGCATGCATAATTACCAATGACATGCAACTCCAAAGTAAGTTAAAATGTCATAATCGGACTGGTATCTAAATATCTAAGACCGCAGAAACATGTTGCTTCCGAGTCTACATACAGACACGTTGTTTCGGTCAACCAATTCATGATACGAACCGTAAAACTTATGTAGTGTCGATTTCAGTCGTTTTTCCTCATAAATCTGTTGGAGCAGGTGTTGTGTATGTAGCACACTCATAATGATGTTAATGAAGTACGTATATTGTAAACATGCACGATTGTAACGTATTCATTGAGATATGTAAACGCCACATGATGAATCAGACAAAAAAGCAGTCTCTAGAAATATGTTGAAAGGTGTGATAATCTCAAACATTTGTTTTCTTCTGTGTAGTGTTTGTGAAATTGTTTGTCTTCGCGACGTCGTTTATTTATTTGGCCATGGATTTTTTTCTTCGAATAATTTTTTTATTGCCCTGTTGATTACTTCTTCCTTTTTTTATATAAGATTATAAAAAAAATACCTATATAGTCTAACATTTTCCGTGATACTGGAAATAGAACATTTGATGATAACTTCTTCAAGATATTCTCAATAAGTAACTTATACTTACCGAACATTTTTTTCAATGGTTAATACGTGAAGTTCACTATCTGGAGTGTCATTATTTGATTGAGTATCACAGAGGCATTCAGCAGTGTTAGTTATAGCTTCATTTACTTTGTTTTGGACACTAGTTAGTAAAGGGATAGCTTTCAAACAACTACTAACTAAAGAATCGTCAGAGCTAGTATCTCTACTTTGTTCTATCACAGCGCATGCTTGATAATCGTTTTCAGATGCATGTACACCCGTAACGTCACTAATGGATATTGAATCTCCATTTACGTCATGAACACGTATTACCGGTTGGCATGACGATCCAACCCGATATTTTGATTTCTTTGCTTTAGTTCGCTTAAATAATTTATCTAAATTTCTACTCGATGAGTTTCTACGTTTTGAAATGGTTCCAGTACTTTTTCTCCTTAATGATGAAAATAATGACGTACGAGGATATACCAACAATTGGTTAAGTGTCGTTTCACTACCACTTGACTTCATTTGCTGTAATTTTTCACGATCTTGAAGAACCTGTTTTAACCTTTGCTCTGCATATTTACGTATTATATCCTGTAAAGTTTTTAAAAACAAACATTGTGTCAACTGTATTTGATTTTGAAAACGCCATATATGATACATGTTGTTAACATTTCAGATAATACAAATAAGAAGCGTTGAAATAAAACTATTAATCTCTCATATGAGTTTGTGTACCATTAAAGCAACACTACAAACTATTGTTAGCCAAGCTTAGCTGGCATTGCAGATATGTTAGGACAATCAAGCAATTTCCTACTGAACCGTTCAAACATTTGTATATACCTAAATTGGAGACTTGTACATTTATCAATACAGTTGTTATTGACATATTCAATAGAGTTCCGGATGATTGCTAGTTCAGCTAGCCTCTTCTTTCCAAACTCCACAAGAATGTGCTAATAAAACAATCGTTGTTTTACTGTTTTATCTAACAAATTGTGTAACACATCTTGGAATTAAGGATAAGATATTAAAAACATAACATAAAGGATATACTGACAGCTGATTAATTGTCAACAAAAGATTATTTTTCTAGCACGTCTGACAAAATTCGATGTGCAATGTACATTGACATATTATATCCCACAACATTTTGACATCTATAAACACAAGATTAATGTGTACACAAATTGTAATTTATTATCATGGTGTTTCAAATATTAAACATGTTATGAAAGATGACTTTGGTAAGCAGTAACATTGTATTGGGAGTACCAATTACAAACATTGCAAAGACCCGCGCCATCGGTACAGCAAATACTCTCCCTCTTTTTTAGCACTAGAGTTTATTCACAGTTTCATTGGACCTCTTGATGCTGAAATATTCCTTTTGTGCAATAATTTGCGAACTCCGTCCTGTGTTAGCCCTTGTGTTGTCTAGCCTTATCCGACACATACATTGATACCTTTTACGGACGACATCATGACTTGTTTGGTAGTGTATGGATGTGTCCCACTTATTTACATGATCCCGTTTTCCTTTTCTCGTTTGTGATATTACAGAACGCGACTTGATATCGGAAAAAAGACTTGAAATAATCAACACGATGGGTGCCACTAGTTGCGCACAAAATGGTCACCCTTTAAGATCATGAGTATTCACGTATGTTTTATGTTTGATTTGGACTGTTTAATATTTATATTTTTGTGTAGTGGTTAAGGCTGTCCTTTGCCTGTTCGCTATGATAGTAGGTGTGTCATTGTGTTATCCTTTTTGTGAGTCCGTCTGGTAACATGTTTAGAGTTTGATTCAATGCAGTTTACCATGAATTTGTTGTTATAACAACACAGAACATAGTAAACATGTTTATTTTGATATGATAGTGTGAGATGGACTCATATGCTTGTATAAAATTCACCATGTAGTTATTTGTCTTGTCCGATTATGATTTTAAATTGCTCCATTTGTATCTTCTTTCCATTTTCTCTCAATTCATTTCAGCCAGCAGCTACGCAATCATTTTGTCTACCCCTTCACGTCTCAATTATTCAAAGCATCAAGTCCATTAATATTGAGGAATTAAAAGTGAGTAAGCTATGTTTCTATGAACTTTATATTTTTCATTGCAATACAAAATGTATACCTTGGCATCCGGGTGATCTTTCAAAGCTTCTAGTACGTCCTCGCGTGATAGCACAAATAGCTCCGCATATCCAACTGACTTTACATCAGCTGTTCTCCTATTAAAGACAATAGCTAATATGAGAACTTCTACATGATCATCGACTTTGTTTTTCATACACGACAATCCCCCAATAGATAGGATGTTACATATACCAACTGACAAATAAATAAACAAATATGAATAAATCTACCTATTACCATCATCACTATATTCAAGGTATGCCAGAGATGTTAGACAAAAAATCAATTTTATACTGAACCATTTAACCATTTGTATATCCCTAAAATGGAGACTTGTAAATTTATTATATTTGTAATTTTAAAGTTGTTGACATTTTCCTAGGGTTCCGGACGATTGCTAGTGTTTCTGCTAGTCCCATTTGAGCAACATGGCGGGTGTTACTAGGAGACAGTTAACTGCATCCGAAACACCTGAGTTCATCCTGGTTTTGTTGGGTTTGTGTTTCTCAATCTTAAGTTATCTGTTTAGCGTTTTGAAAACTCTTGTTTGGTCTTCTCGTAATTTTTCTTCTGAACCATGATATTCTCTATTTCTTCGAACTGTGGTTTTTGAGCAGCATTTGGTATCTTCTCTATCATTTTCGAATATGTATGGTAGGGATGGAAATGTAATACTTTTACAGGATATTTAAGGAGAGCAATGACCCCTTTTAATTAAATTTATGGCACTAAAAGGGTTTTGTCTTGGCCATTCGAAATACATGAACTGTGCAGGGATGAGACTTGAACAGTTTGTTTACATATGTATCTAATAATGTACGACAAAGAGGCCGGAAATGAGTTAGGGAAACGTTTTTGTAATTTTCATTGAGAGCTTTTGATAATACGCCCACATACTAATCATTAAAAATCAATTGTCAATTAAAAAAACCAGGGCTAAGTTGTATGACAAGAAGAACTGTATTGGATGAACATGCCGAAATACTGCTAAACAATTTTTTCTTTTTTCGTTGAAGGGTATACATAACTATATATTTCAAAGATGACCAAATTCACATCAGTTTAAAATTGAATACCACAGTAATTTCGAAAAAAATCAACTTTATTCAAACTTCAATATAAAGAGACACAATGTCAGATTTATCATATACTATATTTCAAAAAGATAACAAAAGTAAAAAACAAAAAAGCGCCGATAAAAAAACCAGAAAAGCGACCTATCTTTCCCATGGATAATTATTATTTTAAAGACAAACTATTGGTATGCATTAAGTGTAATGAATTATAGCACTTTAACTCTGTTGTAAATAACCTTTATGTTGATAAAACCAATGACACAGAGATTACTTACACAAATAAATAACTGCCACATATTTCAACAGGATGTTAAACAATAACTGTATTTATATCAAATAATAAAAGCTAAATCAATTCTAGGAAATCTAATATAAAAGAATTATTGTTCAACAACTCAGACTAAAATCACATTATTTAAGACATTTACTTTATATATATATATTTCATATCCTCTTCCGGGGTTTATTATTCGACTTAACAGTGAAAATAACTTAAGAAACCGATTACTCAAAGAAATATATTTACATCGTTTGAGGAGATATATACAACAAGATAATAATGCGATATGATAACTACCATGTATATTCATCAATGAAGTCAACGATGAATAATCATATATGACAACCGGTCACGATGTGACCAAAATTACTGACGAAAACCCATCCACTGCATAAGGTTCGAGTAATCAGATTAATCCAAATTTTCAGTGTACATGCGAATGGTTTTATTTATTCATTAGTTTAAATGAAACAGAAATTATCCGAAGGTCAAATTAAGGCGAGCGTAGTTTACCGATGTTCAAATCTCGTCAATCGATTAAAAACAGACAAATCAAGGTAATAAACAAAAACTGAGGGAATCGTCGCATGAACTCCAAAAGGAGAGAGATCTGGTGCGCCGAGAGGGTAAGCGTCTCTTGCTATACATGCATCACCCGCATTGCGAATTAACACTTAGTAAGCATGTCAAAATCAGGAAAAGGACTTACTCGGTATTATTACAGATCAGACAAAATAAGAAGATGTGGTATGAATGCCAGTGAGACAACTCGCTACAAGAGACCAAATGACAGAGAAGTTAACAACTATAGGTTACCATACGGCTTTCAACAATGAGCAAAACATATACAACAGAGTCAGCTATAAAAGGCCCCGTAATAACAAATGTAAAACAATGCAAACGAGAAAAACAACGGCCTGATTTATGTACAAATAAGATATACAGCAACTAACGATAACCAATAAATTATGGGCTCCTGACTTATGTACAAATATGATATACAGCAACAAACGATAACCAATAAATTACGAGCTCCTGACTTACGACAGGCACATACAGAATTTGACGGGGTGAAACTAGTTTGTGGTGCTAAATCTTCCCCTAACCTGGGACAGTGGTGTAACAGTACAACATAAGAAAAAACTATAAAAATCAGTTGAAAAAGGATTAACTCATCAGATCGACACAAAGCGGAAAGACATTTAACAAATACACAGATCGGACGTGGCAGGGTATTTATACATCCCCACAACAAACAAGACACTTAGAACAAATCTGAGAGTACTCACAGTTACTGACAGCTAGTTTAAAGACAATAACAACTAGAAAAAAGCATGCATCTAAGACTTAAATATCAATCAGTTAACATTCAGCATCCAGTGGATTTAGTTGATATACGTCATTAACAATCAGAGAAAAACATGACCTTGTTCAATGCCAAGATACAGGTATCGACAGATTTAAGAGCAACTAATGTGCTTATGTATATAACAATAATATTAAGTATGATTTTAATTTAATGATCACAAAATCAATATTTGTACAAATAAAACAATATTCATAAGATCTAATTACAGTGTTGAATTGGTAACCTTTTAGAGTAAGTTAATTTAAAGGATTGATAAGTTTACCCGGATCGTATTTACATTTCCGACTTTCCTAGTATCTAAAGATTTTAAACCGCGAACAAATTTCGCTAGTGAGTTGAGACACCGACACATCGTATCGGTCAACAAGATCTTGATGAGGAACGCAAATCTTTTGTAGTGTCGATTTCAGTCGTTCTTCCTCATAACTCTGTTGAAGCAGTTTTTGTGTAAGGAGAACACACCCGTTAAAGAAGTCCGTATAGTGTGAACATACACGAACGTAATGTATTAACAGAGATATGTGCAATAACTGTACTGCAAAGTCATAGCTCAGACAAGGAGAGGTGTACTTGAAGAATTGTATCATTGATCAATCTCCATTTCGGCCAACCTTCGACAGTACAGAGGAGTAAAAACAAAACCCTCCAAAGAACTAAAAGCATTTACTGAAAATGTCATACTTTCATATATGTTTTTATGTTAACTGATTGAATTGGTATTGGATTACAATATTCATCGTTTATGGTCTAATAGTAAAGCTAAAATTCGAATTTTCTTATTCTATATTTTACCTGTTAATACCTCCATCTAGGTTTAATATTCCTATTTCACCAAAGAAATTTCCGGTACTCATTTGTGTCAATACATTTCCACTTTCACTATAAACAAAGAAATTATACATCATTGATTTTATTCTTGCTAATAAAAATTAGTAAAATATTTCTCAGTAAATCGTTATTTAATGACTCAAATTTATATGTTTCTTTTTCAAATAGACAATTTTGATTATATGAAATGACTTTATTTGAATAAAAGTCAAACGATGTTTACGCGCAATCTAGAAGTGTTTTTAGACAACTGTTTCGGTATTCACATGAGAATTAATATCCATTTAAGAGTGCAGTTCTGACGTACTTGCTAGAATTTGATTCTACATAGGCAAGCATAAATTATTTCCAAAAACAAATCAACCGAAGAAACGATTCGAAATAAGTGTTTAGATGTGCAATATTTCGATTAATTATTCTATTTTACCTGATGATTTCAACAACCCCGTCTGCAATAATAAACATTTCCCTTGCAACTTCACCTCTCCTACAAATCAGATCACCAGGGGTAAATATGTAAGCTTTCATTTTCAGGACAAGGTCATGAAGAAACTCTGGCTGGCACTCATTGAATATTGTTACCTATAAAATGATATATAATCGTAAAAAAATAGTACGTGGTATATGAAGATAAATTTCAATATCTCTGTCTTTCGGAATTCATCACAGCTGACAAAATGGTATCTACACATTCATTTATATGTATCTTAAAGGGAAACTCCATGATTAGCATATATATAGCAGTGCAGTGGCATTGGAAGGACACAACTAAAAAAATTTGCATACAATTTTTGTACATCACTGGAAATGTAGTCCCTATTTTATACACAAGATATAGATATAAGAAGATGTGGTATGAGTGCCAATGAGACAACTCTCCATCCAAGTCAAAATCTATAAAAATGAAACCATTATAGGTCAAAGTACGGTCTTCAAAACGTAGCCTTGGCTAACAAGAACACACTTAGGTAAAAGGAGGATGTGAACCTTTAACTCTTTAAAACAGAGAAACTGTATCATAAAAATAAATATATTATCGTGGGGCCGTTTAACAAAATGCAATAAGTGACATCATCTTAGGACATTTCTAGCCAAACAAAATCTGAAAATTGAATTCAAACTTAAGGAATTTATTGCGATTGCATAGTTTCCGGGATTAATCTGTCAAAAGCTGAAAGTTGCAATGACCTATACACTACACGATAAAGAAAATGTAACAAACGTCGGAGAGGTATCGTGAACTTTGTTTCTATAAATTTAAAGAAGGGCCATTAGTTTACAAACAGAAGTTTTGATTTTCAGTTTTCTGTGAAATGTTTCGTATATAAATAAAATTGAGAATGGAAACGGGGAATGCGTCAAAGAGACATCAACCCGACCAAAGAGCAGAAAACAGCACAAAGCCAAAAATGGTTCTTCAACACAGAGAGAAAATCCCACACCCGGAGGTGGGCTTCAGCTGGCCTCTAAACAATAATGTATACTAGTTCAGCGAAAATGGACGTCACACTAAACTCCGAAACATATAAATGAACCAAAATTTAAAAAAAAAACATACAAGACTAACAAAGGCCAGAGGTTCCTGACTTTGGACAGGCGCAAACATGCGGTGGGGTTAAACATGTTTTGTGATATATCAACCCTCCCCTATATCTCTAGCCAATGTAGAATAAACAAACACAAAAGTTTGTTAGTCTATCCGTACTTGTTCTTTTGACCATAGCATTGTCCGTCATTTGACTATTTACTTTTTACAGCCGTTTTGTTTTGATCTTATATTCTTTGAATGTCTACCGTTACCTCGTGTGAAAATTATAAACTTATATAAATTAACCCATCTCAAAAATTACCTATTCTTTAATTCGACGATAGTTGCATTAAATATCCTTAATTGCATCTAAATGTAGTTTTAAATTCTGTAAGTAAGGGGTATTAACAGAATCAATACAGACATCCCCGAAACATTTAAAATCTAAGCAAAATGCACACCCAACCTCCCTGGGGCTTAAGTGGCTGAGGGGTCTAAGTGACGTACCTACTGTATTACGTAGCCTGCATGTCAACACTGAGTTCATGATTTTGAACCCTGCATGTGGCAGCAGCGTTAGACACAAATCTTAATTGAGTAGGATTGCCAGTTTGTCTGTCGAAGGTCGATTGTTATCTTCGAGCACTCCGGCTTATTCCACCTATAAAAACTAGCCACCACGAAATATCAATGGCATCAAACACCAAAGAATAACCAAAAATCTAAACAGCCCACTTTTAAATGAATAAAGCATGCAAACAAAACATATTAAATAAACAACACATTGGCGAGCTGCATATAAGCTTGACATAAAGGATCTTTATTGTTTCAGAGGTTGTTGACGGCTCACTGACATTATAATTTTATCCCTAAATAGTGTAGCCGGAACATAACGTGTTAGAGTTGGGTAACAAAAATCACACCCTTCATAACTTAACAAATTTGCCCGAAGTCAAAATATGCTTATTGATAAATTTACACAAAGAACTATTGAGACGCAGTTCACGAAGTGTGTTAGAAAGTTAAAGATATTTATTGATTTGTAATTGGTGGCGCTTTCTCTCAATTTATTTGCAGCAATCAATTTGCATAAAACTATTATCGGCCAATTGAACAGTGATACGATGAAACGAGATTCAAATTATATTAAATTAAAATAGATTACTTATTCGATTCTAATGAGTGCTCTTCGTGATTTTAAAGAAAATAGAATTAATCCTTGTGCTTGGTATAATTTGAAAAAGCCAGACATTTTCACACCATCTTTCATTTGGTTCGTTTAAAATATAGGATTAGTCATCCGTTTCCTTGAATATAGATTTGTAAAAATTATGAAACGGTAGAGTTAAGTCAGTCCAAACAATTCAACAAATGTTCCTGAATTATGGAAAAACTATTACAGAAAAGTTATGACAAATTAAATGTGTTAAGGTGCCATAAATACGACAGCAAATATGAAAACAATCATCAATGAAAAATGAATTTCCAGTTTCGGCATCTACATTTGCATATGCCATTTATTACTGTCTTTGTTTACAGCTTAGAAGATTCACAAGGAATCTACGACAAAGAATAGTTTCATGCAAAAAGAGATATGATAAAAACCGTATACGTGTAACTATGCATCACAGTTGCAGAAATCTAGATAAACAGGTCCTAAATTGAAGAAGCAAATGCGGCTTAGAGTATTTCAATTCTAAAAGACGATGACTAACAACTGCACGTCTAGGGTCACGGCTAGGGTCGCGGCTAGGGTAAATGCTAACATGTGTGATGTGTCTTGTTAAGGTTAAATCATCCATTTTTAGAAGTTATTAAAGTTTATTGAATAATTACATAATTTAGGAAAAGGCTCTTTATATACAGCCAATTGATGTCTTCAGATGATATTAACTTAAATGTTGAACCTTAAATCCTCCTCTTACGTGTTGTCAGGTAAAATACCTTTAAATATTTCCGCTTTATGCTTTGTTACATTAAAACGAATTGGGAAAGTTAGTCACACACCTACATCTAATCGACAGATCGAAAACATCAAAGAACTGTTAACAATCACTTTTTGTGTAATATTAATCAATACATTAAAGGTGATAAACGGTTTGGTTATGTAATAACATTAATTTTAATTTACCCTTCTTAACTAATTCGTACCTTTTTAAGTGTTTCTAAGTTGACATGTATTGCTAGTTCTGTTTTAAGTTTATCCGGTAAGAGTCCTAGAGAGTTTATATCGGAACCAGTCATTCTTCCTCTGAAATGAATAAGCATTCGAACTTCCTATTATTACTCTTACTTTTACTGACGCTTCTACCTGCCATTTTCAGTTTTTGTCACATATAAATAAGAAGATCGTGTTTTGATTTAATAGAAAAACGTGTCGCACGCAAGGAAATGGAATTTTCAAAGTCTTTTCCGGTTGATTTTTTCAAGTTTGTTGAACTAATTGATATTAACCCACTGTCCTCTAGCTAGTAGAGAAAAGTATAAGCGTTCACAAACATGTATCTCTTGTGCACGATTGTCACTCTCATTCGCAGCTTAGAATTTATAAAAAGTTTGTAGCTGTAGGTTAAAGGGAAGTAACTATTTGAGAAGGCGACAATGGTAGAATTTTTGGGTTCCTCGATCGTTTCACTATATAAAATCTGTTGAAAAAACTGTCAGGTTCTAAATTTTAAACACCTTTATGTGTGTATAAATCCGCAAAATAAATATGGTGCTGCAGCTTTTTTTTTATTGAAAAATTGCATTTATGAGGGTACTCTATGGTTCCGCAATTTTCAAAGTATAATGAATAAAGAACACTCCCTGCTTAACTTTGCATACAATTTTTCTCATCACAAAGAAATTCCTCCAAATTTCTTGCTTTTTTATACACCAATGGCCGACATTCATTTTTCACTATTTCGATTCTTTTCTAATTAACAGCGCAGCAGAAAATAAATTTACTTCTAGCTGTTATCTTGAACATGAAATCTAGGTGGTGCCCGTCATTTTTATTAACTTCCTTTCTACTTTAACGTGTAACAGTAACGTAGTTGAGGAAATCGTCCTTGAGGCTAGTATCAAAGTATGTTACCTTGTCCATACATAATCATACCGTCACCGTGCTGGTTATATTATTAAGTTACCTTGTCCATACATAGTCATACCATCGCTGAACTCGTCTCTGTACAGGTGGGGGTACATTGTGCATCCGCATATAAAGCTTTGCTCCGTCCTGCAATTCGATGGAATACGAAAATGTTAAATATCTATTAGTGTATCACTTCGTTTTTTTATTCTTAAAAATGAATCAAAGACTTAAATGGCTGGATTGCAGAGATTTTTTATTATAGACAAAGGAGAATTGTCTTAAATACTCTGAACATTTAAATAAATGAAAATATTTTGAAATTGGAAAATGGGAACAATTGTTAAAAAAAAACTCCATACCAGTAGGTGCACAGTCTTAATAGGTTTGGACATTTTCTGTGAAGTTCCAAAGGTCTAGCTTAAAAAAATTGGTAACGTTCTATAGAAATTTGGCTGGAAAAGCAGTTCCAAATGTCGACAAATGGACAAAAAAATCCGCACACAAATCTATATTTTTAGGTGCAAAATATGTGCAATCGTTCTTTGACGTTTCAGGAATCTGTGTTGAAAACTGTAGGAGGAGTTGATTACACAAAATTGGGACAGTACCGTCTTCTTGTAAGTTTTGCTGTTGAAAAATGTACCCACTTTTCAGCGCCCGCGCGACCAGCTAAACAGCATGAATATAGCATTGAAAAATAACAAAAATTAAAATCAAACTTCAATAATAGTGGCATTTTTATATATAATAAACTTTATACTGTTGAAGACTTTATGTAAACCTGTAGACGTAAATGTATTTTAGGTTTTTGTCATTTGACTGCTGTCTCTTTTACATATACCTCAAATATTATCTTATTCGTTTTCAAGAGTATTTCAAAAGGCTTGAAAATGGGAGTGTTGAGTATTAATGACTAGTTTAATACCACCAAATAACATTTTAATATTTTCATTCTTATGATAGCAGTTTTTTATTTTTTTTATTTTGGTAGTGTCTGTTGAAATAAAACCTTTCTCGACTCTGGATGATTTTTTAAATATACAATGGACACTTGTTTAACTTGTCCACTGATTTAACACATACTAGTAATGGCTGATTGTACTTGATTTTCTTAATGGAATTGTTGATGGGGTGTCTTTCTCATTGATGTAAATTCCAGTTTTCCACAAAAAGATGCGCTGTCAATTCCTCATAGCAAAAGTGATAAAAAAAATCATCTTAGCAAATAAAAAAATAGTATCAATATCGCATCGTGGACAGCCAATAAGTGTTTGATCTAAGAATATTATTGCTATAGAAAAATTACATTGCGACCTTAAGGTTGTGTAATATCATTGGATTTTGATCGACTGTGTATCAGCCTTTGACAGTCCAACGCGTCTATAAATCTAGTCGACAAATATTTGTTCCTTCCAGAATCGTAATTACATCTACATATTTTCAATTAACGATAGATTTGTAGGTTATTAGTTGTCAATGCGACATCACCTGATTCATTAAAACATACCAAGAGTCGTTCAAATTCAAGTCGACTGGCATTCCTGTTCGTAATCACATTACCAACTTGTCCTGAAAAAGTCATTGATATCAATTTGCCATCATTCAAACTATTTATTGCAGTCTACTCTTCAGACTAAAAAATAACACGAAATATATCAAAATTGAATACCAATAATACCATTAACATATTTCTGTTTGTCAATTAAAGTATGTGTACTATAGCTATTTTTCACAGAGGAACTATTGAGAGAATTTTTAGTACATTTTACTTTATGTTCTCAACGAAAAAGCACAATTGGGCATCTTTGGACCAATGTTTGCCAGTATTGTTGCAAAATGACAAGTTTAAATTAAAGAGATAGAAAAGACAATATATTTTAATTTTAAGTGTTTGTAAAGTTCTATGATATTTAAATTATCAATAGTTCAGTGATATAAAAGTGCGACATGAAAAGCAATTTGTTTTATTTTCAATTGTTCCAGTTGATTATTGTTATTCTCATTGTTTAAAAAAATATATGGTTAATAGAAAATGTGCAGTTAAATCCTTATGATTAATATGTTTCAGTTTTTGGGAAGAAAATAAGAATGAACACTGATGATGTTTCGTAAAAATAAATCCATATTTTGGATCTTCAAGACAGTTTGTGTACAAAAAGAAGTCCTCTAATAGTTTAATTCACACTTTATGTTTAAGAAATACATAAGGAGCAAATGAAGTTAACATTTAAAGTTTTGTCAGAAGTGGTTCTATTTCAATCCTGAAGATTGCATTTCTGTCAACTTTTCGTACCGTCACGTGGTAAGATTGACAATCTGATGCTATCCCAATCGTGATGATTGACATGTTTAGTGAAAAATGGCCTCAAAAATCACATCATTGACACATGTTAGTAACATGAATATTTCTGAAGAGATAATTTAATCAAGAAGGTTAGATCACGACATACATTGTACATGTATGGACAACTGTGTTCCTGAATAAACGTGTTGCAGATAAAAATAAAAACCTAATATGTCATCTTCATTCCATGAAGTCCGTGAGAAAAGACAAACATTTTCCATTTACAGGTCCAACCTATCACAACATGAAAGATTGACATAAGCACCATTGACTTTTTTAGTTAAAGTCAAGATCGCGGGAATAAGATAGTAAAATGCTTATATGTGTACTCATTGTATTGAAATCTATTTTTAGAACCCCTGGATCATCACTTTTGAAATCGTTTTAATTGTATTTTCTTTTCATTATCTACAACTAGAGCTAACTTTAATCTTCCCATTGTTAACTTTACATAATATGAAGATACCATTCTTTGTGCTATAACCACACGTTGTATCGCCTTTCTCCGTAATTGTTACCGAATGCGAATTATAACCGACTTTTTATTTGTCATGAGAAGACCAAAGTGGTTAACAGGTAAAACGACGTACCTTCCAAATCACACAAGCGCCTCGTTTTTGAAAGGGTAAGCCCATTCCAATATGTATTTTTTTCTTTGAAATTATTGTATTTTGGAATGTTTTATGTTTTTTGTTGTTTTTTTTAACATGGCCTTTCCTTCTTCTGTTTGTATTTTGTTCACAAAGAAGCTGTCCACAAGATGATATTTTACCCTATTCGGACACATGACTGAACTTCTAAATATCACGTGATTGACGGAAAACTAGTAAATATAAATTTTATTGAATCTTATATAACTCAACCAAAGATTGAACTTGCCGTCTTACGACCGCCCGCAGTCAAGACGAGAACGATATACCGACATTAACGAGGCGGTGGTATTCGTGAGATTAGTTCCAAATATTGTTTTTCATAAAAATGAAAAAAAGATCAGAGTGCCACCTATATATACCAGACTTTAGGAATGAACATCTATACATCTACAAACTACAGTATAGCTTTTACAATTGGCTTAACCTTTACCACATCATAACTGATAAAATAGATCCCTATAAAATGAAAATAACACTTAATAAGCTTGTTGCGTCCAAAGAGATTTTTTAGATTTAACTTCATAGGGAGCGTTTAAAATACTTGACTATGTGAGATGTTATATAACAAAAAGACACAATAAAGGATTGCTAAAAACCACTTAAGGTCAACTTTGTCTGCCTGAGGGAGTGAAACTTTAGTTTCTTAATTACTTCTAAATTTATCAACTGACAATTTAAAAATAGTATTTTATAAATCATATTATTTACAAATACCTAACCAAAAGAAACCTACTTACAATGTTAAGAGATAGTAGAATTATTAGAACTTGGGGTTGATTCAAGTCAATAACCAAAAACATCGCTGGGAATACAGGCTCTTGGTTTAAAACCGGTACATCCATATTAAGCACATGTGGTATGCTTTCCAATGAGACAACTATTCATTAATGACCCACGGACAAAGTTGTTAATAATTATAGGCCACCGTATGGCCTTCAACATTGAGCAAAACCCATATCGTATAGTAGCTTATAAAAAGCCCCGGAATGACCATTCAAAGAGAAACCCAACGGCTATAACAATTAAAACATAAAATAAATATTTATGATAGACAGCAACCAACGGCAAACACTGATTTACAGGCTCGGTCATGAAGATATAGAATGGGACTTGGTGAAACATGTTTCGGCGCTCACAATCCACACTTACGTGGCACAGTAATTTAACAACACAACACAACAACAAAGTGTCAAAATAAGTAGAAGCTGATTGACTCTTTTGATAAATACATCCATGTCAATTTCATTATGATTTAGTCTTCTAATTTTCAACATCGGCAATAAATTTGGTGTATTCAATATACTCACCAACAATTGTAGCAAATATGAACACACCAATGAGGTAACTACCAATCACAAACAAGTACCTGTAAAACAAGAAAATTTTAACATAGAATTAATACTGGTTACATAACATTAAGGTAAACACAGATACATTATACCTGAAAATCTGGATACTGTAAACAGAAATATGTTGAACTATAAAACAAAACAAAGTAAAGCAAAAAAACAAAACCCAAAAAAGAAAACCCAAAACGAAACGAAACGCAGTAAAACAAAAAGCACAAACATACACGCACACAGAAAAAAAGACACCAGTTTCAACAAGGTAATGTATTAAAACAATACCCTTGAATCACACAAGGAACTAGAGGCTCTAAAGAGCCTGTGTCGCTCACCTGTATCTTCAACAATGGCCACTTTTTAGTAAAAATCATCATTAAAGGGGAATAACTTTAGCAAGAGTTAATTGACAATTTCAGTCATGTTGGCATATTTGTAAATCGTTTCCTGCTGATAATATTTCCTGTTTAAAGTTTCTATTTATCTATTATAGTTTTCAAGATAATAGGCAAACAAAAAATATCATCAAAGGGCAGTAACTCCAATAATGAGTCGGCTGAAGATTTCTGCCATTATGGCTTATTTATGGATATTATCTTGCTGATCATTTGTGCTATTAAAAGTTTCTATCTATCTATTACAGTTTTCAAGATAATAGGCAAAAATGGGGAAAATCGTTATTAAAGGACAATAACTTCAATAAGGAGTCAACTAACAATTTCGGTCATGTTGACTTATTTGTAGATCTTGTCTTGCTGATCACTTTTGCTATATAAAGTTCCTTTCTATATAATATAATTTTTAAGATATAAGGCAAAAACGCAAAGAAGATGTAAAAATCGTCATTATAAGGCAATCACTCTAATAAGGAGTCGACTGAAGATTTCGGCCATTTTGACTTATTTGTAGCTCTTGTCTTGCTGATAATTTTTGCTATTCAAAGTTTCTATCTATCTATTATAATTTTCGAGCTAATAGGCAAAAAAAAATGGTAAAATTCATCATCTAAGGGCAATAACTTCTACAAGAAGTCGTCTGGCAGTTTTGACGTAAATACACAGTTGGTAGAGCTTAACATTCTGAACAATTTTTCCCTTGTCAGATTTTCTCTTTTCATAGCAGTTTTCAAACAAATACGCAAAACTTAACCCCTATGTTCTATTTTTAGCCATGTCGGCCATCTTGGTTGGTAGGCGGGGTCATCGGACATATTTTTTTAAACTTGATACCCCAATGATGATTTTTGCCAAGTTTGGTTAAATTTTGCTCAGTAGTTTCAGAGGAGAAGAGTTTTGTAAAAGTAGACGACGACAGGCGACGACGAAGGAGATGAGAAGTGATGAGAAAAGCTTACTTGGACTTTCGGCCAGCTGAGCTGAAAATGAGATACGGTTAAAAGAGATAACAAACGGATAATGCAAAGACAGACAATTGCTGAACGGATTTTTGTATGAACAAATATGTGTGAAACAGATAAATTTTTAAACCAGCTTTTTGTAAAAATATGTTTCCAATAAAGAGGGATAAGGTAAAACTAGATACATGTACAACATGAAGGATAACTAGTATGCAAAACAGATTTATGTAAAACAGGATTGTTTAGTTAAAATGTTTTCCAATTTAAATCAAGAGTAATTTTATTATAATCGACTATTTTTTTATCATCTTAATTAATTTTTCGGAAACTAAAACATCGAATTAAAGTGATGGACATTAGGCTTTTTAAAAACACAATTTACTCGAGAACAAAGTGACTTCGTTAACTTACAATAACGAAATAAAGACTGAATTATATAACGTTGACACTTCTGATATTATATTTATCTTTGGAGACGCATTGTATAGACTATAGTTTAAAAATAATCAAGAAGAAATGAATTCTTTAAGAACAAACTGTTGTATTATGTAATACAGAGGCTTCAAATTGCAAGCGATGTGAAATAAATGCGTCATGCATTACTGAAATGGCGAAACACAAAACAAATATCGACTTACATTTGATCTTAAAAAGAATGAAAAGTAAAAAAACGTATGCTACAGAGCATCATTCAAAATTTTTGAAGATCAAATTTAAAGAATTGATTTATTATAAGTCTATTGTTTGGATTGTATTTGACGGGTTTTAAAGCAATCTGACAACAAAGAATTATAGAAAATAATCTATATAATCATTTTGATAATAAAGCTTCCTATTTTCTAGTGTAAGATATGCTATTCATAAGAACACAAACGTGCTAATGGGTTGTACAGTCCTCCCCCTTTTTATCAATTATTCCCCGTTACTCACGCGAAGTCAAATGTTTACAATCAATAATGACTTTGTAATGTTATGTTGTTTTACTGGTAGCTGGGAATAGATATAAAGAAGAAAGTAGAAAAGCATTTAGGAATACAAAGACACAAGACCAGACCCTCGTTTCACAAACAATCTTACGACTAAAATTGATCGAAAGTCATTAACAACTCGGTATACTTACGTTCAAATTCAGTCGCAAATTCTTTGTGAAACGCAGGCCTGGATTTAAAAAATTGCCCATAGTGACTTAATGCGGTAGCATTCGTAAGCAAACATGTCATCGCAGACGTGATCAATAAAAAGGATTTATACATTTAACATGATGTTTTGTTGCAATTAGTTATCTATTAATTATCAACTATAATTATGATTTCTGGTGCAATATTCTATATTTATTCGAGGTCGTGCCTATTCATTCTTATCAATGACAGTCTTGTTGGTCAATTGAAAAGTATATAAATGTTTAAGAAATAAACTTCAGATTATTGTATCCAAGTTTGTTATATATTGGCTTAGTGGTTTAAGTGATGGCTAAGGGTTAATTTCGAAAACACTGATACGTTTCTTGTCATGGCAGAGTTAGCATATCAACAAATTCCTACAGGTTGTTTATTCAAGAATGATAGGTTCATTGGCTTAATTTCTGATAGAAAATAAAGAACATTGTGCTAAAAGTATCGTTCAGGAATTTAGATCTGCAGCATTTAAATCTGTAAGAGTTTTGAAAGACAATTTTTTCAGACTATTTTGTTATTGCTTGGCATTGGTAACCATTCTAAACAGGTACTTTTAAACGATCATTTCACCAAAATATCTTTAATTTAAACTAAATAACTTTAGAATACCTGATATAATATTTTGCCCTTCTATGATCTTTTTATTGTTATTCTAATAAAAGAAAAAAATAGATATGGCCTTAAACATTGAATGAAACCAATACAGTGTATAGAGCTATAGAAGGTACAAGCCGGGGAGGACAAAATGTGAAACAATTAAAAGAGAAAAACAACGGTATGATTTATACTAGAGAACACGAAAAATAATCAGGAAAGATAACTACTAGGTTACAAGTCAAAGCATCATTATTTTCTATGTTAATTAAGGAATGACTGTAATATTTGTTTCTGTCTATTCGAAATAACCTAAAAAATGAGGTGCACACTTTTAAATAACCCGCTACGTGGGTTATTCAGTGTGCACCACATTTTTTATGTTATTTCTACATAGACAGAAAAAAATATTACAGTCATTCCTTATAATTTAATTCTAAAAAGAAGTAAATCATGATAAAAGCGTTGATGACGTCACGGTCATATGACAGAATTATGTCTATGAGCTGATAGACAAAACACATTCAGCCAATCAGAAGACGTGTTACATTCAAAATTAAATTATAAGGAATTATGTGTGTATCAGCAGAGGATAGTACTATGTTAGCTTTCAGCTATATTATGTCCCAGCTTTCAGTTACTTTGACCGTTCTTGGATAAAGCACTATTTTGTATTACTGTATTGATTGTTATTGTCTGTTACGACTATGTCATTAAATTGAGTGCGTTTTCCGAACATATTTTATTGTACCTCTTATATTCCAAATATCGAAGGAACGAGTTTTCAAGAACACCTTCCACCCGCGACATTTTAATAGACCAGTTCAAAGTCTGTAATCATGTTAGTTGCTTTCTTTGTTCGTGTCCTTTGAGAAATTTAGTGATGTCAGCAGATTTTTAATAATCTTTGATTTTATTCACTACATGTCTAGACTGCAGGTTAACTTGTGCTTGATATGAGGCATTAATTGGCCTATTTTTTTAAGTCGGATGATCTCATTTTCTTCGTCTGTTATTCGGTTTAAAGTAAATACAACAACAATGGCAACAAAGAAAAAAAAAACGAAAAACAAATTTGCAAAATAAAGAGGGATAAGTACTGTCTGCGTATTTTTCTTTCAGGTGATATTTGCCCCACGAATACAGTAATGTTGCAATCAGATAAAAAGTTTTACTGAGCCACTAGTAAGAGTTAACAGGTATAATATTACTGCAGCTGCAATATTTGTTTACAACCGACGCGCTATATTCAAAACAATACAGAGTACATTTAAATACTCAGACAATTTTTCTAACAGGTAAACTTAGACAGAATTTTTCTAACAGGTAAACTTGGTTATACTATCCAATCAAGAATGTTATGTCAAATGTCTGCGGTTTTGTTAGTTGATATTAATATGCAAAATAATATTTATGATAAGGAAATAATGCTAATTATTAAGTGTGACATGACAAATAATTTTCTATTCACAAAGAATGTAAAATAAAGGTATTGGGTACAGAAAATAGGTGGTTGAACAGGCGTTGAAAATCCACCTTGCCTTTAAGGATCTTTTAGAAAGGCGTTAGAAATTTGCAGAACTGCTCAACTTGCGTTTCAGACAATGTGAGTCGTCAAGTTCGTATATTGAGAATACATTGCGAACAATGAAATCAATCAAAAGATAAACGTCAATTATATAGCAACCCAACGCTATAAATAACCCCCCCCCCTCCAAAAAAAACCCCAAACAAACAAAAAACAAGTCATAGGTCAACAAACTACACGTGACTATACAAAATATCAAGCTATAAATCCCGAGTAACAGTGAAAATAGATTAAATAGAAACTATTAAAGATGGCCATCAACACCAAATTCTCCAAATACAAAAAAGAAATAAAATAATAGAAGATATAAATAAAACTTTAGTGAGCAAGCTCACATACCCAACACTCTCACGAAACGAAGAAGCTAATAGTAACATGATTGTATATTTCGTTTTTGTTTACTTAAGATATGATTAATTTCCTCTATGACTTTAGATAATAATATTGTTTTAAACAATCAGTTTTATTATCTAGGACCTTGACCTTAAGACAAAGTGACTTCTAAAAAGCATTACATATCCTCCTGTTGTTATATGTAACATGTAACAACACCTCCACGTAAGGTTGCAGTCCCATATGAAATACATGTATTTAATTACCTTAAGGAGAAGATGTTTCTTCATTTTAAGAGCGAGCTATGAACAATTAAAAAAAAAGTACACCGTAAATGCAGTAGAAATATGAACTCAAATATCAACACCTGTTGTAACAGTACTGTAACAAGTAGTCATTACAAAGCTTCAAAAAAAATAATTTAAAAGTTATTTGTGTGTTAAATCCTTTCTCACATGAAAATAAAAAGGTAGATATAATAATTAAAATATTGTATGAAATTATATCAGCATAACTACATAACTGTTAACGAAACACCATAATCCAATTACTAAAACGATACATTTCTATGATGAAAAAAGATGTACAAAATTGTTTACATGACTTTGATAATGCAAAATATTTCAAGATAATCCGATTTGAAATCATATAAAGATTTAAAAAGGAGATCATATTTTATTACACAGTTTTGGTCTGTGCATCTTTTTTGTATAAATATAAAAGATTGATATCCATATCGAATATATCTTTGACATGTCACTGTGTCACATACAAGTTATAATAGATCCAAACATAGAAGTAAGATATTGAATTCTTATTTAAGCTTAATTCAGTTTGTTCGGGTATGTTGACCGATACATATGTGCTTAATTGTGCAATCATTCAACTCTGACCATCTGTGTCCAGTGTTGGTGATTACAACACAGGAGTATACGTCAAAGTAAATAGAGGCCCCCGTAGCATATGTTAGAACATAATATACACCATGACTTGGAATAATCCCTGAATAATGATAAATTTTGCATGAAACAGAGATAAAACCTCCTGATAACATAATGTAAAAAAATCAAAAGAGGATGGTTGTCGCATCTAATTTTTCATATTCAAAATCAAGAAACAAGGTTGTCATGGTTGTTTTCTTTTTCTGTTGTTTTATTTGTATTTATTTGTGTGTTTTTACTTGAGTTCTTTTATTGCTATACTTTTCGGCTTTTGTCGTGCCATATTAATTTCGGGACTAATTTAACAATCCCTCGAACCCACTGGAACACTTTCTCCCTACATGGTCGCTTAAATATTTATTCATTTTTAATCTCCCTTTTCTTGAATATTTGTGTTCATTTATACTCCGTTTCTTTCTTACGTTTAACATATTTTTTTTTTTTTTTTTTTTTTTTTTGTGGTTGTTGACTGATTGACGTTAAGATTGTATCTTATATAAGAAACAAATAGTATATTACTTACTCCCAATTTGTTTCAGGTGGTGGTAAATCGCCAATAGTAGTCAAGGTTAAGGTAGACCAAAACAGAGACGCTAAATATTTCCGGGTCAAGGCCTGGTGACTTCCTGATGGTTGTGGATAGGACCATTCACTATGAAAACCTTCAGCTTCGGATATCATAAAGTAAAATGCAGCAAACCAATGACATCCAAGGAATAGCATATGCGTTAAATTTGCAACGCGCACAAAATTTGGATATGCGGTCCTTGTCTCTAGCATATATAAAAATCGAAGTGACCTATGAACTTTAAGAAATCGTGGAAATCTCAGCAATGGTTGCCAACCGACTGCAAATTGTATAAAATCAAACGGTAATAAAGTAATTATGTCTATTTTGAAGTAGACAGAACGTATGTATCTTTTGGCTAATTTCACGCCATCCAGCACCATTAATCCTTGTTCTAAATATCCCGTACGGAGTTGAGCGACAATATCCAGAATGTATATTAGATCACTAACGATATCAAACGTTATCCACATATACTTATGATCGTATTGTAATTCACGGAAAGCCTGTCTAACTATACAGGTCCATAAATTATATAACACAGCCACTGTGACTATTAGTAACCAGTAGAACATCGGCGAACCGTCCGGCTTGAATACAGTCACATCGTTATGTACATACACAACTCCTGGCATCTCATCGTCAGAGTCTACGGATTCTTCAGAGTCAGTTTTATAATGCTGTCGCGTAGAAAATTTTTTCAGAAAAGAATCCTGTCGACTGAGAGATCCTTTTTTCTTTGCACTCATTGGCTTTTTTACGATATTTGTCGCTTGAATCACGTTACGAACACTTGTCCATCTTGTTTGCTTTCTCTGTTTTAGTGAAAAACTGTTGTTCGACAATTCCGAGTCTGAATGTGTTTGTTCTTTCGGGACGCTTCCATTTTCTGTCCTTAGTTTCTGACGACTAACTGTATGTAATTCAATGTCCGCAGATTTCTCATCCTCTTCTGATTTAATCGACATCTTAAGATTTTGCGGAGAATGCTTTGCACCTTTTTGCTTTTAAAATGACAAACTGTAATCGGCTTACAGTATATCTTTTATAACTGTCATGATTTTTTTTACAGATTATACAAATTACTAATAACGGTGGTTAAAATTATTCAATTTGTTTTCGATGAAATCTTATTTAATCATGTTATTTCCAATAAATCTTTTCACGAAAACATTAAAAGAAGATGAAATTCCTCCTCAAGACTGAATATTCAATAAAGTTTGTATTTCTATTTTATCCACAAAGGTAAGAAACTTCTCGTTACAGAAATATGATAACTCCCACCCTCCATATCTCTGTAATAATTCCACGGGTACTTCACACGTTAGTAGATTGAAGTTTTAATTAAATCCGTCACGAGTCATAATTTATGAACATGAAATTATCTTTGAGAAGTGTGATATTATCCAATATTTTTTAATTTGAAACGTCAACAGTATTCTAATTTACACCAGTTTTAGTATATGACAGTTAATGATGTTGCCTGGCATGCATAGGGAATAGTAATCTGATATTCTCTGTAGAAACCGATATAGTCGCACAAGTATCAGTCAGTATGTTTCAGCTCCGGACAACCAATTAAATGGTGGATAAACGTTTAGTAACATATATATACATTGATATAATTCTTCCTATTAGTTGTCATAGATCGAAGATAGATTCCTAACAAGTGTGCGATGATTATTTCATTTTCCTCATTTATTCTTCAAAACGCGAATTTTGCTGATCACAAGGGGACTATTAGTTTGGCTGAAAGAAAAGAAAACATGATCAATGTCCGTAAAACAGACAACATATACAATAATATCTATCTTATTCAGAAGACGGGGAAAATCAAATCTACAACTATAGTTTTGTAATTAATATATTGGGCAAATATCCCGGAGGAAATATTAGAAAGTAAAGGTCGATATGAAAAACGTCTTAAGTTCAGGGCAATAGAAGTCCATAAGGTCATCCACAACAGCAATAAACATTTATTACAGATGATGCCGAGGCCAATAGAACCAATACCTATATTTAGTCTGAGAGAACATCATTTATTTATTGATTTAAACTAGTTTTTTGTAACTGCGAGTACTCTTATAATGGTAAACGTTATATTGATTCATGATAATATATATTTTTTAATTGACTTTTGAAACATTCTATGAATCATCATTTATGTTTGTGTCTTTTGTATTAATGTTAGTTTTTGTTTGTGCTTTCTGCTAATCTGATGACTCAGGTAATTTCCTTTTACAGTTATCTTGTGCTTTTGTCCCAAGTAAGGAGCATGCGATTTAGTGGTTGTCGTTGGTTGCCGTCTGTCATATTCGTGTTCCGTTTATTGTTTTGTTATACGTCAGACCGTTTGGTTAAATTGTTTTACAATTTGTCATGTCATCGGATCGCTTATAGCTGACTATATTGTATGGATTTTGCTCATTATTGAAGGCCATACGGTGACCTATAGTTGCTCACATCCACGTCATTTGAACTGCATGATGGAAAGTTGTCTGATATATTGGAAAAGAGGGACGAAAGATACCAGAGGGACAGTCAAACTCATAGATCGAAAACAAACTAACAACGCCATGGCCAAAAATAAAAAGACAAACAGACAAATAATAGTACAGATGACACAACATAGAAAACTAAAGGCTAAGAAAATTGGAAATCATACCACGCCTCCATATTTTTATAAATTTGTCTATACAGTTTTTCACCTTGAGATACACACCTAATTTTTATCTGCTATATACTTCTTACATAATCACTCAGGTTGTGGACCAAATTCATATTTAAACTGATATAACAAAACTTTATCTTTGGTTCTAATTAACACTGCATATAATACTGTATTTGTAAATCTTCTAACTAGTTTTCCCATTGTTTCTTCAGTTAATAAATAATTAAATAATCCATGGGGAGAAATATATAACAGAATACAGAATAAGCCTTACATGTAATTCTCTAGCAACGTATACATCATTGATTCATCATACAAATTGTAATATTTTTTTTTCAAATGAAACATTCTTTGAAACATCGTTTATTATTGTTAATTCAAAATCCCTTATGGCTTAAATTCTTATTGGTACGAAGTTTGATTGATATATCAACTGAAAGTTTAAGATAACAGAATGGAATGATATAAACAGATAGTATCTTCAAATCAGTACAATCCTACTATGTTTTATCAGAAAAGACCAGATTAATGTTTATATTTCCATGCAGTAAAATTGACCCAAGCCATAGTGTACAACCTTTGGGTAACTATAGCTATATCGTGCAGATATTACACAGTACTATACTAGTCAACAAAAGTAACAATACACAAGTTTGAACTCCAATTTATTTTAAAATATAATAAATAGGAAAAACTATTAAATTATCCAATGAAAAACATTCCTTTGCAAAGCATATGCATATGATTGAAAGAATCTGACCAAATTGGAAAGTGAGAAAATACCGTGTTATTGAACACAGGGGTTACATTTATTTTGCGGAAAATGATGACAAAAGTCGGGCTTTATTTCGAAGATGAGAATTAAGTATTCAAATATCTGCAAAGGCATTCAAAATTTTAAGCAGACCCTATCGATTTTTGAATTTTTGGGTGAAATTACGATTTTTGAAATAACAAAAATTGCAAAAAACAAAACAAAAAATCGCAAGAAAATAACACTCTGTAAATATAAGACCAATTGGGCAATTATTTACCTTGGTACAGTGTATCCAATTTCATTATATATTTATATATGGAAAATACATTGCCGTGTATCGTTTCTTTTGTTGACTAGTATACTACATAAAGTATGGTACACATATAAAACAGTTGAGCCACTATGAATTACAGTTATTCTAATGTTCAGTACAGCTATATATGAAATGTACGGTAGTGCTCTAAAATTCTTATTATACGTCAACTGAAGTAAATGAAAGTATTATCGAGGGGGGAAAAGGGGGGGGGGGCGGGGGGGGGGGGGGGGGGGGGGGGCGGGCTGGTGGTTTGATGTATATATATATTTATTTATTTAATTTATATTATATATTTTTCAATGGAAAACCGTGCATCCACCTTTTGGAAGAAAAACTTTTAAATATATATTAGATTGTACTCTTAACACTTACATTACATATCACTGTATACAATTAGTTTGTTATGCAGTGCAACTCGGGAACAATGTCACGTACAGCGCAATTGGATCATTATTACACATATAATGCTATGTTACTATGTCATACTCAGTGCAGTAATGTAACTATGTCACGAACAGTTCAATTTGGCCACTATATCACGTACAGTGCAGTTGTATAGTGCAGTTAGGTAACTATGGCATATACAGTACAGTTTGGTTACGATGACACGTACAGTGCAGTTGGGTCACTATGACACGTGCAGTGCAGTTGGTTACTATGTTACGTACACTTCAGTTAGATTACTATGTCACGTACAGTGCAGTTGGTTACTATGTTACGTCAGTGCAGATTTTTTACTACAGTATGCAACGTCAGTGCGGTTTTGCTACTATACTACGTACATTTCAGTTAGGTAACTAGGTCATGTACCGTGCAGTTACTTTTACACGTAGTGTGCAGTTGTGTTACTATACAGACATTGTCGTCCTTTTAGGAGTAACATTCGTTTAGTATACAATATAGACGGTGCAGTCAATAGCACAGCTTATCAATACCAGTTATGGAATTTTTTTGGGAGTGAAATATGAAAAATAATGTTCACCTGTTGATAAATCATCCTTCAACCCCCACCCCTCGAATATTCAATATTAAATGGTTATCCCTCCCAACAAGATAGGTATCACCTTTTTTATTTTGTTTAATTTCATAAAATTCATAAAAAAAAACATTTCAACATTTGAAAAATAACACGTTTTAATGCCCGGACTAGAATCATAAAACAATTGAAGATAAACATTTCCCGATCGTCTCATATTCATCAGTGACATAGTCATTTCATGTCTGAGGGAACACGTCGTTACATTTCTACTCACGAGTAGAAACTACTAAACCAAGGGTAATCAAATGTAAAACATATCAATTCCCTAATGAGCCGTCAGTCAAACTAACATCTGATATTAGACCATGATAGATTAAGACGTAAATTGGTTTTAGATCAACATAGATACACAAATGAAAAAAAATACAGTAGATATTTTGCCAAATCATGTATGTTACGTGAGTAACAGAAACATCATCTGTCAAACTTCACAGGTTTAAATGTACAATCACTGATCTAATACACATCATTGACTTTTGATAGATAGATATTTGAATATGAAATGGAAATTTATACAAACTATTTATTCTTTCCCTCATATTGAATTTATACACCAATATTGACTTAATATTAGAGATTAATATAGATTACCTCAGCAACATGTCCATGTTTGCAATTTAAAATGCTTTAGGGCAATAAACTGTTCCTGGATTCTGTGAAATACACTTGCTATTTATTAAATTTTCCAAACGATTATACCTCATTGGAAATGAATGTGTTTACAATGAATGAACTACAGCGTATAAATCGCTGAAAATTACCCAACGAGGAAAGTTGAATCTAATGGATATACAGTGTACTTACTGTGACAATATTTGGCTAGTGGTTAGATTTTGCATGTTCCTATAGGCTATTGTTTACAATACTAACATTGACCTTCAGAAATAAAGCATTAAAGCCGTTAAACCTACATGTAAGGTACACGTAGTATGTGTTTGTCCTTTTTTCTGAGCAAAGCTGTCGACCGAAGTACAAGTTTAACTAACATAAACACGTTGGCTGATATTCATTTAAAATATTTAAAAATTGATTAAACTGTAAATTGAGTAAGTTACATCGCACTTGACACATACTTTCATTCTATCTAGCTTACACTTGTTACATCGCACTTGACACATACTTTCATTATATCTAACTTACACTTGTTACATCGCACTTGACACATACGTTCATTATATCTAACTTACACTTGTTACATCGCACTTGACACATACGTTCATTATATCCAACTTACACTTGTTACATCGCACTTGACACATACTTTCATTATATCTAACTTACACTTGTTACATCGCACTTGACACATACTTTCATTATATCTAACTTACACTTGTTACATCGCACTTGACACATACTTGCATTATACCTAACTTACACTTGATGTGCATATTACCTAAAGGGTAGGACCGGTTATCACCAAGTTTCGTTTGATTTTTCTTATATTGACAACATAGACTGGAAAGTGGTTGAAAGTGATTAACCAAAATTTTGCTGAGGCATACTATGCTAAGGGTATTCTGAATTGTTTTAGTTTTGGGGTATCCTGCCAACCATTTGGATACACTGTGTGTTCTGTTTTTTTCTTTTTTTCCTTGATACTAGTCGACAGCCATCATAGCCATGAAAACGCCTAGAAGGACCCTATTCCAAATCTGCAAAAGTCTTGTAATATGTATTGCCTGAATGTAAGCTAATGCTTGAAAAAGAATGAACATGTAGAAAATTCGAGCAAAATTTGACACATTAAATATGTGAAACACTACAAGAAAATATTTTAACTCTTTATTCCTGCACAAATGAATTAATCATTGTTTATATACTTTTAAAATCGCAAACGTTTATGCAATTTGAACGTTTGAAGTTTTTTCTTACAATCCAATCTACAGTCAGAAAAACGAATTGCAAATTCCTAAGCTTACAGTTTTATTTGAACGTAAATAGAAAAAGATTTAAAAATTTTGTATTC